CTCTTTCGCCCCCAGTCTGTTATTTATGTGTTCTTTAATGCACCTTTAATTTGACCTCTTCCTGCTTTTTCACAACATGCAACAAAGCAGTTTACCAGCTTCAGGCAGTTTCACTCAGGTCCTTGTCCATCTCTGATAAACACTACTAAATCAAAATTGTGTATTTCTGCAGGTGACAGTTGCCACCTGTCCCTTAAAATATGAAATAATCTTTTAGATTGTTAGTTAAACATTGGGCGTTGTATTTAAACAATTAAGGAAGCAATTTGTCCCATAGTTTCATGAATAACCGATACCTTCATCGGTCAAATTTACATCCACATTAAATCTAATAAAAATTAACAAAACAAATTGCAGGAACGATAAAAAGGCTACTAAACTGTTCTGGTGGGTTCTAAGTACAATCTCTTCCGTTTTGCATCCGCTGCTGCTGGTTGCCTAGAGACGGATTCCCTTCACCTACTCTGCTCTCTGTCACCCATGTTTACCCCCAATACTCCACTCCATACTCTATTTCCTCAGTAAGAAAGGCTAACAAAAAAAAGAAGTCAGTGGGAAGAAGCTAATCCCTAACTAAACAGTGTCAGCAGGGATGAGGACAAAGAAAATTATAAAATACGTGAGGCTCTTTGTAAGTGCTTACAGCAGACCATTCATGGCTCATGATTCAGCAAGACAGAAACATGATAGACCCCCTATGAACGCAGAATCTCAAGCATCAGTCCTTCATACCATGAGTCATACCCTCTGAGGCTGAGATATTATTGTTTTATATTGTATTATATATATTATATGTATTATATTATGTATTATATTTTTGTTTTTCTGTTGATCGTTTACATAGAGCTAAAAAAAAAATTGATTTAACATTTAATTATTAGTCAATAAAGTGGCGATTTAGGGAGTAAATAATGCTAAGAGTAAAAAAAATAATCCAAGCAAATATTAGTTTTGCTAAAACAAAATCTACTTTTAAAAAGGTAATTTTATTTCATTAATGTAAGGACTCAGTATACAGAGATAATCAATTAAGTTTGATATCAAGGAGAACACAAGAATGTTTATTTTTAGTTTCATAGTTATAATAGTACAGTATAATGAGCATTTAGCACAGACAATATTACATTTTTATTTTATATTTAAAAAGGTTTTATTTACACAAACTGACCAACTTCATGCGCTAGTAGTATGTTGTAGATTATACAGTAAGCATACAATCATATATAGCATGGATGGATATGTGGGTGCAGGAACGAATCAGTCTTCCAACCTGTGTATGCTTTCGGTGAAATTACCACATTGAACGTGAGTTGCAGTTGGAGCCTCTTAAGAATTAGATTAATTTCCTTTTTGCTAAATTGTTAATGTTACAGATCTAAGGCTATGTGAAAGACCCTCCTCCTTGACAGGCCGTCTCCTGCTGTGATTAATAAGCAGAAGCAGCTGCTGTGGTTGATCGGATTGTTTGGTGAAGGAGTGAGGAGTGAAAGTTTTTCTACCACAAATTAACGTTAATTATTTAAAATTTTAGTACATCAACTTGATTATTTCAGTTATTTTTAGTAGAGAAAACACCTTTTGAAACCAGAAAACTCTCCACGAGTGCTTTTTTTTTGAGTGAGTCAAAAATCTTCTCCTAAGAACTTAACTGATGACTCAAAGAAAAGCACAAAGTTGGGGGATCCAGCTGATCACTCGCAGATGAACACAGAAAGCAGCCAGTTTGATTGATAGACTCAACTGATTGAGTTTATCAATCAAAGCTCAACAATTGATCACTACAGAAAGCAAAGTTGTTTATTTTGGAAAAGTATTGTGGCAAATAAGGATGTTTGTTGATGAACCTGTTTGAAAGTGAATGGATCTGTGTGATCATTAATGTGTCTGACCCTGAAACTCCGCCTGCCTCTGAGAACATGTTAAACATTGATGCAGCTGTGAAAATGCCGGGTTTGCTTCAGGGAAAATTCAATTCAATTTGGGTTCAAGGAGACAGAAGAGGATATACAGAAAGAAAAGGCAACTGTAAATCAGCTCCACTGGCGGATGAAGAAAGCACATCCAGCCAGTCACAGTCAGAGAAACAGGACTACACTGAAAAACGGGCCAATCTCCAACATCTAGAAACAAAGGTGTTGATGGCAGCAGCACAGCTGATATTTCTCTCCAGGATGGAGTCACAGCAAAACAGGAACAGACAAGATGAAGCTACTATGAGAAAAAGCCGAGAGAGCAGAACGTTAGAGATTGAACAAACAGATTCTGCAGAGGAGAAGAATAGAGACAGAATGAAACAAGTGATGAAAAAGGGTCACTACGTCCTCCAGCAGTCTAAGCCTATAGCAGCATAACTATAGAGATAGCTCAGGATAACCTGAGCCTGGAAAATGAAAATTAGGAGGATGTTAAGAGGTGATGAAGATTCTCAAAGGAAAACTCAACGAGACCTTTAGTCTTGTTGACATCCACAACTTGATCTTTTTACCTAGTGGAATGCAGAACTGGTTTACTGCAGGAGTTCTTCCAGTCTCAGGTACCACCTAAAGGCAGGTAGGCAATGTTATGTAATTTACAATTTCATTATACTATGATGCCACAGATGATTACCACAGTATTATGTTTGCTTCTTGATGATTGCTTGGGTGTATGTGGGTGAAGTTGGACGCTTTCTGAAAATGTGGCTTCTGTGGTATTTATTTTGCCTATTTAATTTATGGAGCCAAAGTTTTATATGATTCATTTTTAAAAGAACTTGGAATCTTCACATCACAAGAGAAATTCTAAACACAGATTTTATTATTATTATGTAGAATTATGTTGTTTCCCCAAAGTTGGTCTGCCTGAGTGACTGGTGGAAAAAGGAGAGATAGAGCTTTGACTGACGGACAGAAGGCTAATGACTGTAAACGGTTCATCATGACCTATTATGTAGGCCTACAGTTATGTTTATCTGAATAAACACTTATCTCAATAAACACTTATTTGTGGTGAAATTTGGAAACAACTGTTTTATTTGCTTTACCATCTGCTTTCATATAATTTTCATCTTTACTTGCTTTTATTCTGCTTTTCCTCTCCTCTATTTTACTGTTTAATTAATCTAAAGCCCTTTGAATTGTCTCTTTACTTGTCAGGGTTCTGACCTCTGTTTGCGTTTATTCTTAGTTTCTTTGTATTTATATTTGCTCAGCTCATTAGTCCATCCTTTTTTCTGTTTACCTTATATGCACCTCTGCAGTCACTGAGTGCTGGTTTGTTGTTAAGTTGCTTCCTCGGCTCTGGCTCCCCACATGTATTATCCTTACGTATCTTATTTTTGGTTGTCAGTATTTTGATGCCCGTTGGGTGGAGCTACCCAATCCTCTCTTTGCCTCTAACAAAATGGATGAAATCAAAATAGTTGCTTGGCTTATTTTAATTAATAATGCAAGTACTGGAAGCAGCAAAAAAGCTTCTGTCGCTTCATTTTTTATTCTTGTTCAATTTAAGGTCAGACATCCAGTAAAGTGTGTCCAGATGCATCTGATGCTTCTGCTGTTCCTGTGTTCAATGGCAGAGAGCAGCTTTGCTATATTCACTGTTATAAATGGGTAAAAAGTAGTTTTAATATGTTTTTAAGTGAGAAAGTCCCCCGAAAAAGTCCACAGAGAACACTGTAACCCCTTTTCCACCTGGATCCCTGCTCTTTTTGGGGGACCAAACTTGTCCGCACTTCCTCACCGCCTCACCTGTATCTACTCCCACGGCTAGTTCATCATTGTCCCTCTTGCGTTGTGGTTTAGAATAACATAGCACAGACCACGCGTCAATATTGGCCATAAATCAAAAATATCTGCGACAAGCTCGCTGCGACACACTGCTGCGGGAGGATAACCAACCCTTAAGCCTTTTGCAGCATAATTATAGAGATAGCTCAAGATAACCTGAGCCACTCTGACCATAAGCTTTATTAAAATTGAACTTTTAGGTCTAGTCTTAAAAGTAGACAGGGTGTCTGCCCATGGTGTCAGACCAAAACTAATAGTTGGTTCCATAAGAGAGGAGCCTAAGATCTGCATCCCATTCTACTTACAGACATTCTAAGAATCACTAGAAAACCAACAGACTGAGAGCAAAGTGCTCTGTTAGGAACATAAGGAACAATCATAAGGTGGAGCTTGGTCATTTAAGGATTTTTATATGTGAAAGGGGGAAATCAGTTCTATTCTGGAAAATCAAAGGAATCTAAGAGAGGAGACGTAGATATTTATTTTTTAATTTCTAATCAGAACTGTTACTTTGCTTCTTATTTTTGTTTAGACTTGTCAGAACTAAGGAAGGTGTATATTTTTGTGTGTTGGTAAAAGTTACATTTAAATACACTGTTATCCTGAATATGAATGAACCCAAAAACTTCAATGCAAGTAGTAAGCTAATAATTCTTAAGTTAATAAATCAAATCAGACGCTATCAGAAAAAAAATGTCTTATTACATTTTACTGACCGTTTAGTTGCAGTTTAATTTAAAAACGTTAAAATATGAGTATAAATCTATCTTAAAGATGAAGCAGTAGGGTCCATAGCAGAGGACCATTCAGCTTAGGGGAGAAGGAAGAACCTGATGGATTCAATTCGCCATTCACATTAAATCACCACTGCTGCAAGCCAAGCGATACGGGTAACCATAAATTAGGTAATATTGGCCTTTAGAAACAGATTATTCCCTCATTTCCTCTCGACATATAACTATCCATCCCCGGTTATTTCTAATAGTAGGGCAGCCATACCTTCTACAGTCAGAATAAGCCATCAGCCCCCCTCCCTCACGTTCACTAAGCCTTTCTCCTTAAGTAACCCCTCCAAGTTAGATTTTTATGTATTTTTATTTCTTTGTTGATAACTTTTTACATTTTCAATACGTATTCAAAGTAGGGGTGGATTGTAAACAAGCTGTCAGTGGCGTTTTTCTACTATGACATCGTCTCCTAGTCACGTGGTTTGAGTTGGCCCCACCTCTAACTCTCCCAGCTCCGCGCGCTGACAGACAGACAGGAGGAAGACGGACCTGAGGCAGGAGACTTCCTCAACCCTGCGCTCCTCAGCAGCTTCTCCGGCGCACTTAGTCTCGTCTCCAAAAGAAAACCTACTTGGTTCCTCTTCATTCTGCCTTTAAAGGTGAGTTTTCATAGAACTGTCAACGTCACCCTAAAAGGTAGACTCTACAAGCCGCGGTGCTGATGACAGGTAACAGGTGTCATTAAACGCAACTGTATCCTGTATTTAATGCCGTTTCCCTAAGGAGCGCCAATATTGATGCTTTTCCTGTTCACCTTTTAGCCGAGCATAGCTTTAACTTAATCAAGACATTAGCAAAATAATAGGCTTTGCTGAGGTGTCACTAATGGATGCTCAGTTACCATAATAGCAAGGATAATTGGTTCTTTCCTGCTTATTTCACGGGTTCATGTAACTCTGTCAGCTGACCCTCCCTGTTATGCATTTTCAACCTCTGCAGCTGATGACCAGAATAAAAGATGGAGGGTTTGGTTATATACCTAAATTATAACACAAACTATTTATATTCTTGATATAAACTGCCCTTTAAACACTCTTAAAATCAACCAATACTTCCAGGTAAAGGTTAAAAAAACAAAACAAAAACAACCAAATCAGCTGTTGCATTTTGTTTTGTTTGCACGTGTATGCTGTGGATATAATTATAATGTGATATGAATAACTATAGCAGGATTAGACTCTATGGTTTCTAGGTTTTGATTCCAGCTGAGTCAGCAGAATAGGTGGTTTATTAAATAACCTCAGGTTCAGGTCTGGATTTTCAGCATCATTTTCTTCTTATAAGAGCAGGTTAGGTTACCAGTTTCAAGCTCAAGAACAAGAATCCATGATCCATGCCCTTAGAAAATGAGAAAATAAAAAGGATGGCGGCTCTGAATGAGAAACACAGTTACGTCATGGTTAACAGTTACGTCGTGGTTAACTAGAACTAATTTCTCAAATGGGTTATTCTTCTCCTGTATCAGAGATCTCCCTTCTATTTATTATGGTAGTGCTTAATGCTTAATCTCAGTCAATGGATTCCTGAGGAACAAAGACTTTGTTGACAATTTTCAATGTAGCTCGGTTGATGATGGTGTTTTTTCCATAACCAGTATCAATCCTCACAGAGTTTCTGCAGATGGTGCCAGTGCGGCTCTTATGTTCAAGAAATTAGTCTCCATGATTTTATTCAATAATGAAAATTCTTTACAATCTTCATAGAAAAATATTTACGACAAAATAATGAACATTGATTCCTTCATTATTCATTATAAGCAAAAATTTTATGATTTTGTCGATTTATAAGATCCCTGTTTTTGTGTACTATATAAACAATTTTTTTTTATTTTTATTTTGATGTAAGTTTTCCTGCTGCCAAAGCATCGACAGGTTAAGATCAATTAAAGTGATAGTTTTTCCTGAGGAATAAGGTCACAGTTTGTTATTGTTTGGCCTAAAGGTTATTTGCAGTTATGGTGGTTAAAGAGGTATAACTTTGTGTGAAAAAAACTCATATTGTGATAATTTAATTTAGTTTTTTATAGGGATGCACAATATTTTTCGAGACAATAAAATATTGTCCAATTTGGCTGAATTTTTATCAGCCCGATACGTAATTTTTTCGATAAAAAATAGCCAATAAATCAATTAAATTTGGTGCAATTTTATTCAAGCAGAGGAGTCCCAAAGTGTTTTTTTTCCCCGCACCTTACTAACAGGACCTAAGCGTGGCTCCTTCAATACCTGACAGTTAATTACCAGATATATCTTCACTAGTGCATGGCTGCAGGAAATAGGGATTCTGGGGGTGCTACAGCATCCCAAGTGGCAAGAGGGAGATAAAAAATGTATTAAAGGGGTCATAGAATGATTATATAGGGTATCTGGTGCTGGTCCTTACGGAAGAGGATTAGGTCCACTGGAAAAAAAAAAAAAATTAACCGATTTTTTTTATTTTATTTCAGTATAGTATGGGGAAAAAGTCAGAATTCTGACTTTTTTCTCAGAATTCTGACTTTAATCTCAGAATTCTGACTTTTTTTCTCAGAATTCTGACTTTAATCTCAGAATTCTGACTTTTTTCTCAGAATTCTGACTTTAATCTCAGAATTCTGACTTTTTTCTCAGAATTCTGAGATTAAGTCAGAATTCTGACTTTAATCTCAGAATTCTGACTTTTTTTCTCAGAATTCTGACTTTTTTTATTGTATTTATTTTTTATTGTATTTATTGATTTTTATTTAAAATTTAAAAATCAGTTTACTTTTTTTTTTTTTTTTGTGGCCCTAATCCTCTTCCGTAGGTCCTTTAGGGTTTTGAATAGGGTGTGTAACATTGGTTGGGCTGAAAATGGCATATTTGCTGTTCTATGAGCCCTAATGCAAGCCGTGTTAAAAGCCCCAGAATGAAACGTTTTCTTCCTTTTATGGTATAATCATGAATATTTAGATGAGCCGTGCGCTGATTGGTTGATTTACCACAAGCGAACCTGCGGAGCAAAGATGCATCATAGCAACAAGCACCCACTCACTGAAACATCGAAATTGTTGATATGGTAGGGAGACCAGAAGTCCTACATTGCTTACCTAAAAAAATGTCTGGGGGAAATTTCAAAATCGTCTGGTATTTTGGTCAACTACAGTGCAGCAAGTAGTTAAAACACACCGGGGACTCAAACTGAGCTGTCAGCTCAGCAACCAAACCGGACCCAGTGATGGTAGCCTGGACACCAGCAGGCCCATGCTTCCACCCGCCTGCCTTACCGGCCCCCAGCCCCCCCTCTCCCGGCTGAGGACGGGCTGCTCATGGCTCTCTGCTGAGGTCCGATCTAGACAGCGGCCCAGCATTCGACACCTCCTACCCGTATCCTCGTGGGTGACAAAAGTACAGGCCAGAACCAAATAAGGCAACATCCCAGAGTTTACGGCAATTCGGGGCTTCGTTTGGATTCACCTATTTCATGGTGGAGGTTTGAAATTTTAAGACTTGCAAAGAAAGGAGGTGTTTTTGGGGTTTGAACTTCTCTGTACGCCCATTTCAACCACTAAACTATTGTTATTCATCTATGACAGTGGAAACTCGGTTTTGCATTCTATGACCCCTTTGAAAATACTCTGCACAATTTATAAATTTCTTATGAATATTTTGGAAATTATTTTGACTTTTTTTTTATTTTACTATTGCGTGTATTTGGATTTTAATTTAATTATTCTGAGGCCTAATCAACACAAGTTTATGGGAGATACGTTGTCATGGCAATGTCAGGCAAGCTAGTGTCCCGCATGTGGCAGCAGGCTAGTAATTTACATAGACTAAAGACAAAAACGAGGAGGAAATGTGGGACAGAAACGCATTTCAGATTTGTCCGCTTTTGAGAGACTTTATCTCCACGAACCCCGGAGCGCACCGCAACATTTGGACACCTGTAACCAGGCAGGGCACCCTGCCTGTAGCTCAGAGTAAGAACATGGTGCCGTCACGCACTTTTATGTCTATTCCTGCAGTTTAACATAACCACAGTATTTTAGAGTCTCATTTTGATCTTGTGTTCTTTGTGTAATGGATGTGTAGAACTGTTCAATAATGTTTAAGTAGTGTAATAATATAATGATTTTCCTGGCGGTTCACGTAAAAAGAGCTAATAGATTAACGTGTGACATAACAACAAGTTCATGCTAGCTGACCAAATCTACGTTGTTAAAGTGTTGTTAGAGTGAAATTTAATTAATAGCGCATTTATTCACCTGGTTGCATGCAATGAAATGTATATGACAGTAAAGTAATGAATGTTAATCTGTTTGATTATTTATTTTTTATTGCGTTTTTACTGTATTATACCTATGAGCCTACAAGCTCATAGGTCTTTTCTCTAAAAAACTTACTCCCAGCGGCGGTTTTTTTCTCGGTTTGCAAAACCTGTTCAGCAAGAAATCTGAGAGGAGGAAAAAAGTATTCAGGTTTTAACACAACAAACCTAATAGCTCACCTCATGGTCATCGTGGCAAAGCAATATGGAAAGAGTACGAAGCAGCTGCGATGGCAGGTAGCGGTGCTAAGCCACGGTGCTAAGCCATCCCGAGCCATTGCTTTTTCTCAGACATATTGTGGTAGTCACAACACACATCCACAACTTGATCAATAAAATGGATTGCATGTAAGTTTTACCAGGGACAAATGGACATCAGATGTTATTCCGGTTAGCATATTAAGCTTAACGGCCCTGGTTGGATAGAGATTTTAACATGCAAAATGCAATGCTAATGCACAAGGCCTCATGCATTCAGGCAACGTTTTGTTTATTATTCATATTATTCACATAATTTTTGTTAAATACATGTGTTGTGTTGGTACATCTAATGTGTTGGTTGAAAATATTAGACTTTGCTCCACAAATACCTTTGCAGATTCAGATTCAGTGGTCGTTGATGGTCTAGTGGTCAGGATTCAGCACTCTTACTGCCAGGGCCTTGGTTTGATTCCCGGTCAAGGCAGCTACCTACTCTTACCCGGTGGTGTGAAAATTTAGGAAGGTGATGGCCTAGTGCTTGTGCTCTGAGAAGGTTGCAAGTACCCGGTTCGATCCCCACAGACTGCACTCTATGTCCCTGAACAAGACACTTAAGGAACACTGCCCCCCGGGTGTCGCACAATGGCAGCCCACTGCTCCCAAAGGGGATGAGTTAAATACAGAGGGGATTTTTCCATTGTGAGATCAATTGAATTCAATAATTATTATTATCACATTTTTTTTAGATGCCCTTTTTTCTTCAATTTTGCCTCCATGTTTTGTTACTGAGTGAATGCCAATGCATAAAGGTTTTATATTTGAAAAGTAATTAAGTTCATAAATACCTCTGCAGTTAAACCACTGTCAGTTCAATAACTGATTGTCTAGGAATGTTCTTTGTGTTTGAATTGAATTTTCTTTTGCTGTTGTTAATTACAGCAAAAGGCCACTGTTTTGTGCGATGACAGAAAAAAATAAACATTTGAAGAGCCAAAACCTCTTGATTTCTGTTAAAGATAAGTCAGAGCTACAAAATATATATATATTTTTTTGTTGCTGACTGTATCCACCACAAGCCCCAGATTATGCAAAGATTCTATTAAATATGAACTTATCGATATCGGACTTGAAATTGTTAATAGTTTTTTAATTATTTGATTCCTACTTTTTGCACATTGAAACATTTTGTCACAATGTGCAATCAGACTTTCTTATTTCGTCATGTTTTGTGTTTTATGTCATGTTATGTACAAAACTAGATCCCTCGATGAATTTAATGTTTCATACATGTAGATGTTTTTGTTCGAATTTTGTTCTCGGATATGTTAAATGCAGTTTTAAAATGTTTTCATTCAGCCAAAGAATTTGACAGTTCTGTGAGGAAGAATTGTAGAAATTCCTCATGTGTGTTTTTTGAGGAACAAATGAAAAATCTACACATCTTGCATGGAGAGAAGTCCAACTAACTTTCCTGCCTTTTTCTTTATCAGAAGAGTATGGGTCCCATTTAACGTGGTTTGAATAAAAAATTCTACGAATCATACTTGTTTTGCTTTAGATTCACATCTCTGCAGTCAGGAAATAGGAAACACCAGCTAATGCTCGTCTATGGCTTTTGATTCTGATGGCTTTTGGTTTTTTTATTGGAACACTCTTTAAATAAGCCTTCTTGGCCTCTGTTTTACTTCAACCATTACATGATTACATCCCCAGGTGTTCAGTAGCACTTAAGCTGAAACAATAAGACAGAAGGTAACAAGCCTTTCAAATTAATTCATTATCTTTCATATTTTATCCTTAAACTTAAATGTAGTTTTTACTAGGGGTGTAAAAAAAACTAATTTGTGATATATCGTGATTTTTGGCTGCTCAATGTGATATTGATCTTTAGGTTCCTAATATCGATTTGATTTAAAAAATGACCTAAAAACAATTAGGCAAAATGGGCCACCACTGCACTGCAACTCTAGTACAGTAGATAGCGCCGTGGAGCCCTTTTGCTGTGCAGCAACATTTCTGTAGTTGAAGCAGTCACAGTAGAAGTCATGGACTGACTCAGACCAGAAATAACATGGATACCAAAATAACTGAATGATCAATACCTTCTGATGAACATATACAGAACTTTTTTTGTCTTTACAGTAGGAGTCATTCAAAATTTCCTCACTTTCCCTGATGGGCCCTTGGCTGGTCCTCAGCTGGTCCCATAAAAGTCCTTTTTAAACATCAGTCTTTGTAATAAAATATTCTTTCTGTCATCATTTGTGGACATTACGCTCTAAAGAGAAGCATCATCTGGTCAGACCCTGTAAGTCAGTGAAAGGGTTTGACTTGGAAGGGCCATTTTGATTAGCCTGGGTGCCAGTCCGAACTTAGTCCCCCCCACAAGGTTTGAGTTCGGGGAAGTTCGGTCTGGCTCTGCTCCATAGTAGCGCGAGTATTATCGCCCACTGTCAGGCGATCCAATCAAATTGTCAGGGCGGGCTTTATACGATGATGGACAGATGATCAAGAGTAACGTAATCAACCACGTGACCAAAGCGCGCTTGGGTGACAACAATAATGGCTGCCGCTGGAGAGTTTGGGTGAGTAGATTCTGCTATTAGGTCTGTTCTAGAAGATATCGACGGCAAATTAGTTTTAAAAGAGGAACAGAGAAACGCGATCAAGGCTCATCTTCTTATTCTAGGCGTAAAACTGCACGCTTTGATTTTTGTGGACAACTACTGTATGCCTCGCTTAACATACGTCACGCACTCCGTTGCTCTTATTGGTTGTAGATATATCCAATTGAGTGCAGAGGCATTTTTTTTCCTGGTTCGTTCGAAACACGCCCCATAATCACAGCTCTATGGAGCAGTATCAGACTCATATTCTGACTAGAATTGAGTCGGACTACGTCAGGCTACATTTTGATTGGCTGGTGCTGTACATTTTGATAGCTGGATAAAATCTCGCTCTATGTTGTGATATTGAAATATTGTGATAATATCGTATTGCGACCAAAGTGCAGTGACACGTATTGCATCACTGCACACATGCCAATACTAAAAAAAACAGTTGAAGGAAGTGGAATGAGAATGATCTAAATGCTCATTCTTCTACGTTTCTATTTCTGTTTTAAGTCTGAGGAATGTATTCAACAGCAGTAATGACTTTCTTTCTCTTTACTTCCAAAAGGACAACCTGGAAATTACACAATTGATTGTTTAGGCCTCTTAGTTGCTTCTCTGATTTGACCTCTCCTTTCCTGGCCTGTTAGTTTAGGTGGATGGCTATTACCTTACTTTCCATTTTCACAGGCGTTTATATTAACATGTCTATACAAATTTTAAAGGCTGGGATGTTTTATTATACTTTAAACTTCTCCACATAAACATTCCTGACCTGTCTGCCGCGTTCCTTGGTTTCTATCATGTTTATCGACTAATGTTCTGATAAACCATAAATTTTAATTTATCTTTATAGGGCCTATGAGATACTTACAGTTCAATTAAATCATGCAAACAGATTAATTAAAAGTTATCTAAGAAAACCCAGCTGATTGCATCCCACAAATATGCATGCAGCGACAGTGAGGAGAAAAAACAGATTAAGTATTTAAGTAAATCTGGTTCTACTAATTTACTAAGGGGCTCTAAACACAAACCCCCATCACACTTCTTTGAGTTTTATTTTAAAAACAAAAAAGAACCACCGTGCTTCATTTGTTTTCTATTTTCTTCCTTCTTCCAAATTATTAAATGATTGACCTAAATGACCTAAAAAATAGTTGGGAGTTTGTTGTAGCTACATTTGAAGAAGTTTAAGGGGTAAAGATATCTTTATAGTATTCTGTGTCATGTTTCATAGGAATTATTTGTTCAAAAAAACAATTTTTTGAGCATTTAGTTAAATTTCTTAATGTTAATTAACTTTTTTGATTGTTTCAGACTCAGACTATGGAGGATTCAAGCCCTCGCCGTGGTGGCTCTGTGTTTGCGGGGCTGGTGGGAGCATCGCAGGTACTCGGACTGGTGTCTGTTGTTTTGACCGGCGTGTGGATGGGTCACTACAGAGGTGGCTTTGCCTGGGATGGTTCAGCTCAGGAGTTCAACTTGCACCCTCTTTGCATGGTGCTGGGCCTAATCTTCCTGCATGGTGATGGTGGGTCCACACAAAGTCTGCATCACTGTTAAGTCAACAATAAAGAAATGTACAGATGTGTTGTATCCTTATCCACACAAGAGACATCTCTTCAAACAACAGGGACTCCTCATGTGATTTATTGAAGGAATAGTTAGATTATAAAGCAATTGGGGTCAATGATTTGACTTGATTTTCAGTACTAATTTAGCACAACCCGACCATCTAACTATTAGATATATTTGCAAGAAAAAAATATTTATTATTTCTAAATTACTGCTTTCATGGCTGAAATTGTAAATAAGTAAGAAGGGTAATTCAAATCTGATTAGCGATTTTGTTTTCTGCTGTGTTTGTGTGTTATAAATGCAGGGGTGGATGCCTTGGCCTCAAGCTACTCTTTTGCTGACCCATTGCATTAGGGAAACAAAAACCAGATGCATGTAATTCCCATCCTTATCCAGCAAGTTAGATCTTTTACTGAAAAAGAGACTAAAGACTGTTGGGTTAATATGTCAACTGTTGGTCAATCATAAAATTAGATAGTGTGTCAGGAAGAAAATAAAAGCCAAGAAAGGAAGACAGTAAACGCGTGTATAGAACCACTTTAGTCAGATGAGCACAAATGTTATACTTTTACCTCATTTAAAAGATGTTTCGTGGTGGAAAACTGAGACCAAACCTTCAGGGTTGGTGAGGAACCTCAGACAACGGTTATGTTCACATTATAGAGTAATATATTTAAAACATATCTTAAGAAATGATAAAGTAAAATCCTGAGTCAAAAGACACTCTGCCCTTTATCTATCCAAAATGAATGTCAGTGAATTTATTTAGTCACTTTCTCCGTATGCGATAAGATTTTTAAGAGGAATTTTATTGAATAATGTGTAATGTTGCTAAACAGGCAATTGTCATTACACTTTTGTAAACTGGAACGTATGTTTCAGGTCATTTTACCTCAATAAGATGTTAATCTTAGTGCCCAGCCTTTTAATAAATTATTAAAGCAGTGAAATATTTTGGTTACGGTATTCTCTTTGTAATGCTTGTTTTTTCACAATGTCTTCAAAAAGTATTTTCCAAACTCTTAAGTATAAGGTTTGGATATCTCTACTTTACTGGAGTAATTATTTTTGGAAATCTTTTTACTTCTACTCCTTACATTTTAAAAATAGACTCTTTAGTTTTTTTTTTCACTCAAGCTCATTTTCTTTATAACTTTTGGTATTTGAAAACAAAAACTCTAAACAATTTGTTTCACCCAGACATTTATTTTCTTTGTGGTTAGACTCGGCGTTGCACCAATTTGTTGCTTCCACATACCAAAATAAATAGGTGTAAAACTGTCACCATTAGTTATAAAACTAAGAAAATGAAGTATCAGGAAGTTGTCCTCCATAATTGTGGAAAATGTTCATTTAATAAGGTAGTGCAGTAACCAGTTTAAAGCGTCTCCCCTTAACATTTTTTTCCTGCATTCCTTTTAGTTTTATACTTTAAGTAGCTTTAAAAACGCTATTTTTACACTTTTACTTGAGTAAAAAGCTTAAGTTGATGCTCAAGCTTCTACAAACGTGTTTTTATACAGGAGGATTTATACTTCTACTTAAGTTCTTTTCACACCTCTATTCTAAGAGAATACTGAATGTAGTTGATAACTCAAAGTGTACACTGCAACAGATCCAGATTCTGTGTTTTTACTCATAAGAGACGCACGATTAATAATCTTTTTCACTGGTTTGGTGTCTGTAGCCTTTGGCAGTTTCAGCAATGAGGATAACAGCATTAGTCCAACTGGTGCAGTCCAAATTGCATTAGGGTCATAAAGGAAAAGGTCAATTAGACATTAGATGGTGACTGTAATTGTGAGGCTGATGTCAGATGGAAAACCCTCCAGGGGAGCCTCTTCGCCGTTTAGAAACAGAAATTGAGGGTAATGTAGTTATATTTCTAAGCATACAACTCTAACCACCATTTCCCTTCTTCTTGTTAGAAAAAAATCATATCTCATGTTACAAGCTGTATTTTTAATAAGCTAAATATAAAAAAACCTCTAAATAAAATAAAGTTTTAGCTCTTCAGTCCTTTATGTTTAATTATGATAACAAAAAGAGTATTTTATTTCTTTGATAATCATGTATTTGTTTGCAACACAATATTAATAACATTGTTGCCATGACAAACTTTTTTGGTCTCACTGTTCAGAGTGATCATTTAACTTAAATTTACCTTTAATTTTTCTTGTTTCTTTTTGAATAAAACCAGCACAAGCTAAGTATTTAGCAGAAATAAGTCTTTCAGGCCCAATAGGCTCCCTGCTATTTAAACATGTTATTTATAATCTAGTATTAATCGTTGTTTTACCGATTAATTTAAGTATATTGATTTCACTATATTAGTAACTTTACTGTGTTTCATAACCTAAAAAAATATGTAGTCATATAACTATTAAATCATACATTTTTAGTTTTAGTGTTGAATACAGATACAAAGTATTGACCAATTAAAAAGATGGACAGCTTAATCCAGGGGGAAATGTTCTCTCTGAGGCCTCCTTTCAGTTATTTAGAACATGCAGAATTTCAGCTGTAAATTTGACTGATTCCATGTAGCACTTTGCTAATTGTCCATTCCTTTCTGTTCAAAACATATTCATCTACCAATATGCAGATTAGAAACTTGTGGTTTAAGGTTTGTTGCCTGGAAGCACACTGTCAGGTGGTTTGGGGAGTAAACTGTGGAAAGAAAGAAAGCAGTGTGTGGTGTCACAAGGGAGAAATGATTACATTGTCTTTTTGGGGATTTATGTCCTATTAAAGGAAAAGTCTGGCCAACAAGGAATGATCAATGGATCGATATCTATAACTAAAACTATTAAGTTTGCAGTAATTTAATGAATTTAGTGTTAAAAGAATGAAAAAAAAAATGAAAGCAATAATTTTCTTTGCGATCACTGAGACTGGGAGCGGCCATTTTTGCTCAAATATAGTAACCCCTCCCTCCTGCCATCTTCCGGCAGTGAAGTTACGGTTCGGTAAACCTAGCACCATTCTCCCCACTTTACAAGCAAAATCAATGGGAACTATCAGATACATCTGCAATCAACAATTATTAAAGATTTCCAGAGGAAATTCACCATTGAAATTCACCAGAGCTATAGTGAAACTGACAATGCCCACGTGCATGGCAGCTGGATGCTGGAATACATCGGGTAAAAGTGGAAACAATGACATTTGTTATTTCACCTTTCTAAATCCTGATCCTCCACGGACGGGTTGGTCGTTGGATTCCCAACTTGAAGAGGGAGGATTTGCCATCGAACTTCTGGCCAGAGAAAAAACACGTAATATGTAGCCAACATTTGGAAGAAGAATGTTTTCAAGATGACTTGGATAATAGCGCGTTGTGACAAACACCAGATACAGCACTGGGACTTGATCAACAGCCGATACCGCACAGTGACGTCACAAACCACTAGGTGGCAGTAGTGTTCTTTGACAAACATGGATGCCTCCACATCCATGTAAATCACATTCAAATGAAAATTACTCTTAATTAAAAAACGTACCATTTATTGAACAGTATGTAATAATTTCATATTTACAGTACTTTCAGAAGTTTGAATTGTGAATATGACCAGACTATTCCTTCAAAGGAATTTTTCCTCCTCCCAATTCTGTCAGAGAAAAGTGGGAAAATAGCTCCTTTAAAGCTCCTTAACTGCATTACAATGCTCCCACTTGATTTTACAATAAACTTAAGTTTTACTATCAGAGTTGTTTCCATCTGAGCAAACTCCTCCTGTCTCTCTCTGAGCTTCTGGTTCTGCTCCTCAACCTTCTTCTGTGGAGAAAAGATGAAACAAAGAAGAGATAAAAGGGAGACAATGATAAAACGTCTTTAGTATGCTTCATCACCTGCAAAGAGATGTAAACAGCACAACCAACGGTTATAGTATGAGATACGTTAAAGTAGCACTTGATACTATCACTGAAGTATAAGTAGTATTGTTTAATGTGACATGTATATTGTGTTAGCTGAATATAAGAATATGGGCTTTCTGTATGAAAATGAATCTCTAAGTACCTGTTAACCAAGTACTTGTAGTTGTTTGTGAGAGTGCATTTGTGCATGTAAATGTAAAGGAATAACGCTCAATAGTGGATGTGAAGAGCAAAAGACTCGCCCGACCCCCAGAGCACCGAGGCAAGCACCGGGGGACCCAAAACCCCAGATGCCAAAAGGGATCCTCAGAGCAAAGGTGCCCGGGAGGGGCCAACTCAGAAAATCCACCCCCACCAAGGAAAGAGGAGAGACAGCCCCAAGGAAATCCCCCTGCCACCGCAATGCCCAAGCCCCAAGGAGCCGCAGGGACGACCGCCGTCAGCCAGCGAAGTGGAACACAGCAATGCTGATTCAGGGAACTATGATCACTCCCCCGAAACTGTTTATTAACGCCTAAATTAACTTAAAATGACGAAACCTGCTGGCAAAATATGTCTATATAAATAAACTTAATTGAATTTAAATGTTGCAGGCTTGAAAAGCCACATCTTACTTTTGTTCAATTTCATTATTCATACTCTTATCAGATTCAAGTTATTTCTGTGACTACTGCAGGTTTTTCTTTAATGAAACGAAACAGTTTTATCCTTGTGTATATACCTCATTGCAACATGCCCAATGCTAATTGTAGTTTAAATACATATATTAGCAAGTCTGGTGACTTTTCAAAAGTGATTTTTCTTAATATGATATTGTTAAAGCTGATTAAAACTTGTCTTTCTCTTTAGCCATATTAGTTTACAGAGTTTTTCGCAATGAAGCAAAGAAACATGTGAAGCTGCTTCATGGCATTATTCATCTGCTTGCCCTCATCATCAGCATCGTAGGTGAGAGTCTTTTTATCAAACTTTAACATCCAAACTGTTACTTTACTTTTTGGTTACTTAAAGCTATTTGTGTGTGCAGGGATTGTCGCTGTGTTTGACTTCCACAGAGCAGCTAAGATCCCAGACATGTACTCTCTGCACAGCTGGTGTGGCATGGCCACGGTAATTCTGTTCTGCTTACAGGTATATACACACACACACATAAGATATATAGCCTTATTGTGACCCATATCCTGCACCTAAACATCACAGGTTCATCTCTAACCTAAACTCAATCCAAACCTTAGTTATAAACCTAACACCTAACCCTAAAAGAGTGTTTATACAAAAGTAGGTCCTCACAATATCCTGTGATTTGTGAAAAATGGTCAAGAAAAAGTAAGAATTACATGCAATTTAATTACATGTAAATTTGGCCCATTTCCAGAGTCAATAGACTTTAAAGACCATTTATTTTATTTCTTCCAGTTCAGTGATAAGTTACTTTTCATTGGTCTGTCACATAAAGTTTTAATAAAGGCGTTGACGTTTACATGGGCCGGTTTGCAACGGTACACAGTACCATGACATGATCATTGAAGGTTGAATTTTGCCCAGGTTTAAGGTCCCCTCCCTGAGAATATGTTAACACATAATGAATCCTACCACACAGGGCAATGCATGATATGATCAGCCATTTTCATCCAACATGTCTTCATCTTTTCAACCTTTTCTTTTTAAAGCTGAACACGGGATAATTTTTCATTCATTCTAAAAAGTTAATTGTTCAAAAGGTTTATCAATACTTTGTAATGCATTTAAAATGAAGCAAACTTATCATTTGTCTTTGTTTTCCCCAGTGGGTGTTAGGTTTGATGTTCTTCCTGTTTCCTGTTGCATCATCATGGTTACGAGCCACATACCTCCCTATCCATGTGTTCTCGGGCCTGACTCTGTTGGTCATGGCTATTGGGACGAGTCTGCTTGGTATCACAGAGAAACTCCTCTTCAGCATAACGTATGTGTCTGATTGTCTGTTATTGTGTGTGCAGAGAAAGAGTGTGTAAAAAAAAGGTCTTAAAGAATAGGAGAATAAGGGAAACTATTTTATAAAGACTAGGTAGTTAAGGACAACATTTTGAACAAAAACCAAATTGCTCTATAAGCAACCAAAAATTAGACTTAGAGACTTAGTAAGATTTATTTTGTCATTTTGTATACACAAAAGAAATTTCATTTAAAACAGCGCTAGATAATTTCATTTTCTAAGGTGCAGCCTTGAAAATAGTAATAAATACAGAAAAAATAGTAATATAAACATATGACTGTAAATTTACAGTTCTAACATTTAATTTTTTTATTTTAATAAATAAAATAACCCATTTTACACAACATTCAGCAGTCTAATGGCAGTGGGGAAGAAACTCATTTATGATGTTACGGGCTTGAGACACGCAGCGCTGGGAAGAAATGTCTTTAATGGAGGGAAGAGGAGCCCCCATGATCCTCTCTGCTGTTCTCAGCTCTCTTCTCACCTTCTTCCAGTCTGCGGCGCTGCAGCCTCCACACCACACAGTGAGACAGCTGGTCAGAACGCTCTCTATGGTGGTGAGGATGGGTGGGGGCAGGTGGGTTCTCTGCATCCTCCGCAAGAAGTTCATGCGGTTTTGTGCCCTTTTGATCAGTGAAATGGTGTTAACATGCCTGGTGAGGTTGTCTGTGATGTGCACCCCCAGGAATTTGGTGCTGTTGACCACCTCTACAGCTGAGCTGTTGATGAACAGTGGAACATGGTTAGGCCATTTCTTCTTGAAGTCCAAGATGATCTCCTTGGTCTTCCCCACATTGAGGATCAGGCTGTTATCTTTGCACCAGTCCATCAGCTGCTCCACCTCCTCTCTGTAGTCCTGGTCATTGTCGTCTCTGATGAGGCCTCACCACTGTGGTGTCGTCTGCAAACTTCACCATGTGATTGGTGGTGAACCTGGGGACGCAGTCATGTGTCATCAGGGTGAACAGCAGGGGGCTCAGGATGCAGCCCTGAGGGGAGCCTGTGCTTAGGGTGATGACATCAGAGGTGTTCTGTTTGACCCGGACTAACTGAGGTCTCTTGGTGAGGAAGTCTAGCAGCTAATTTTGAAGGGTTGTTATGAATCCCAGCTGTTCCCGTTTGCCCATCAGAAGCTGTGGGATGATGGTGTTGAAAGCTGAACTGAAGTCCAGGAACAGCATCCGCACATGAATGTTCTTCTCCGCCAGGTGTGCCAGGCTCAGGTGGAGCGCAGCAGAGATGGCGTCCTCAGTGGAGCGGATCCGTCGGTAGGTGAACTGGAGACGATGTGTTCTTTGAGCAGCCTTTCGAAGCACTTCATCCTGATTGTAGTCAGAGCGACAGGCCGCTAATCATTGAGTGAGGTGACCTGAGGCTTCTTTGGGATCGGAATAATGGTGGCAGACTTGAAGCATGCTGGCACTACGGATTGGTCGAGCGAGATCTTAAAGATGTCTGTGAGGACACCAGCCAGCTGATCTGCACTCTCCTTATACACCCGCCCAGGCATGTTATCAGGCCCTGCGGCCTTCGTTGGGTTTACTCTCCTCAGGGGGGGGGTGGGGTGGGGGGGGGTTGTATTGTAGTCTGTGATCATCCGAATGCCTTTCCACATCCTCCTTGTGTTGCTGTCGTTGTGGAAAAGATCCTGGATCTTCTGGCTGTGGTTTTGCTTCGCTGATCTGATGGCACTGGTACGCGCTGTTCTCAGTGCCTTTTTATCACCAGCGTTGAAAGCTGAGTTCCGTGCTTTTAGCGATTTCCGAACCTCTCCATTTATCCAGGGTGGTTGGTTGGCCCGGGTTTTGATGTTCTTTTTGATGCTGACGTCCTCAAGGCATTTGTTGATGTAGGCTGACGCAGTCATGGCATACTCATCAATATTTAATAAGTTGTCATACGTTGCTGCAGCCTTGAAGATGTTCCAGTCAGAGCATTTAAAACAGTATTGGAGTATTTCCATGGCGCCCTCAGACCACACTCGGACCTCTTTTACTGTCGGTTTAGCTCTGATCAGCTGGGGCTTATATGCAGGGATAAGCATGACTGAGAAATAATCTGATGACCCAAGGTGGGGGTGGGGGGGCTTCTCTGAATGCATCTTTGATGTTAGAGTAAAACAGGTCTAAAATGTTTTCACCCCGAGTTGCAAAGTCCACATGTTGGTAAAAATGAAGGAGAACAGTCTTCAAGTTAGCCTGATTAAAATCCCCAGCAGTGATGAAAACACCCTCTGTGTGCAGATTGGAGCTCAGAGATAGCCTGGTATAGAGTCTTCATGGCCTGTTTAATGTTAGCACTGGGGGACACATAAACAGCAGTGATGCTAACCACACTGAACTCTCTGGGCAGGTGGAACGGTCTGCAGTTAACAGTGAGAAACTTGATGTCTGGAGAGCAGAAGCTGGCGACCGATCTAGCTTTTTTACACCAGCTGTTGCTGATGTGAACACAGAGCCCATTTCCCCGAGTCTTACTGCTTGGTTCTTTGTTCCTATCGGCGCATTATAGCGTTAGCGCCTCCAGGTTTATAGCATTGTCCAGCATTGCTGGATGCAGCTATGAGTCCTTCAGAATGATGGCACAGCAGATACTAATCTCCTTCTTTGATGAGAGTTCCAGTCGAAGATTATCCATTTTGTTTTCCAGCAAGTGGACGTTCGAGAGCAGGATTGATGGAAGCAGAGGTCTGTGAGGATTTCTCTTTAGCTTCGCAGTTAGCCCCCCTCTGTAGCCCCGCTTCCTCCGTCTCGTGCATCTCTTCCTTCATTCGCTCTTTTATCTGAATCCCTCTCACCAGAGCTGCTCCATGTTTATCGAATGTAAAAAGATTTGTTTCGGCTTGTAAGATCAGAAGCGACTGCCGCAGTGTGTTGACATCTGTATGTTGAGTTTAATGTTATTACATAAATTAGAGGGGTCCATCTTCACGAGTCGTTTTCCACAATGGCAGTCATACAGACAAAACAAGCCGGTAAGGTACAAATAGGGAATACGCACAGTTTAGAGCAGATGTAGATTTGAATAATCAGAGGCCTCCTGTCTGCTGCCACCTACAACTTGGGAGAGTTGCAGCAGAGTGTCTGCGGAGGGGCGGAGAACGTCTCTGCCTTCACTGTGACACACACGCAGACAACCTGGTTTCAAATGAAATCAGTCTTCATTCACACTACATATAGATGTACTTTTGCCATCTTCTGGACGATTTTGGTATTGGATTTTCAAAAGTCAAATTTAGTCTTCAATCATTCATGCAATCTCTGATCCCATGCCCCCACACCATCCTGACATTGCTTGAAAATACACACATTTTACCCTGGGAACAGAGCTTCCATCATGAAGCCTACATTAATCCCATATTTCACCATTGTTATCACAAACAGTAAAACAAAACAAAATAGCCCAAACAAAGAAGCAGACACAAATTAGGGCAAAAAAAGCAAAGCAAAGTAGAAAAAGTTAATGAATTAAGAGACATTGCGAAAAACTTTAGCTGCCTTTCGGAGTTCTGAGGTTTCAGTTATAGTTGCGCTTTAAATCGTTCCATTGTTATACTTAATATTTTGCATCCAATAATCCATGTTAGGAGGTTCAGGCTTCATCCAGTGGGTGGTGATCATTTTCCTGCCTTTCAATTAGAAGAATATGTAGCAAAGTCTTGTGAAGTTGTCAGGGAACACTAGCCTAGTAAACTAGCCCCACCCATTAGCAGCCAAAAATTTTTTTGCCTGCGAATGGTCTAGCCTCCATCAATGCCCCAAGTCCTAGAACTGGTGGCCAATCAAAAAGGTAAAAAGCTAATTGAAAAGTTAAAAAGTCAATAAGTGAAGTTAACAATTATATTTAGTTTAAAATGTAAGTGTAAGTGTGTAAACTGATCAGGAGGGCCGATGATGTAGGGGAGCACTCTGACCACCGTGGCAGAGGAGGATGCTGTCCAGGCTTCAGTCCATCTTAGACAATGACTCACATCCTCTCCAAGACACACTGGTCCAGCAGACGAGCTCCTTCAGCAGAAGACTCATCCTACCCAGATGCACCACAGAGCGCCACAAGAAATTATTCCTACCTGTGGTCATCAATCTCTACAACGCCTCCCTCAAGCTATTCAGACGTATATATATATATATATATATATATATATATATATATATATATATATATATATATATATATATATATATATATATATATAGATATATATATATATATATCTATATATATATATATTTGTATCTGGAGCGTGTAACTAAAGTAATTTCCCTCTGAGATTGTTAAAGTATTTCTGATAAGTTCCAGTATCAACATTAATGCCTCTAAGGTTATGTTGTACCTGTCTTTCTTTCAATCTCAGTGTTTTTCATGAATTTATCATAGAAGCACTTTGGTTATTTTTCTTAATATATTCGTGCAAGTTCACATTTCTTGTTATTACATTGACACTCATTTTTGCCATCAAAATAACCATATTTTTTTAATGTTACAAAGGTAATAAAGTCTTGTCCTGGTTTCCAATTATGCTATTGGCTTGAAATTTTGATTTTCAAAGTATTTCACTGAGTGCCCTATAAGTGGGGTTTGAAAAAAAACTTTCAGTACACTCTCCACAAAAACGTCCACTTCCAGTCAAACTCTCTCCAATGCTGACTACCAGTTCCCTTGTGACAGGAAGTGCAGATGTTCTCCCATGTTTCTTCCTTTAGAACCGCGGTTCTCAAAGTGTGTGGCACGACCCACTGGTGGGGAATTGAGACGTGACAGGTGGGGCGCGCCAAGTTCCGGTGTGTGTGTGTGTGTGTTGTGTGACTATAAATGTAGAACGTGTGAGAGCAAACTGTCCTTATAGCTGCATGTTGCCGCTTTTTAGACCAATCAAACCCACAAAGTAATCATTAATAGCCTACATGCAGTCTAATTAAAAGAACATTAGATATGAGAAAAATTTCACCTGGAACTGAAGTGCCAAAATAATGATTGACGTGACGTCGGCATATTATTTGTAACGGAATAAACTTTCGCGCCCCAGTGTTGCCAACTCAGCGACTTTGTCGCTATATTTTAGACCCCTCCAGCGACTCTTTTTTTAAAAAAGGGACTAGCGACAAATTAGCGACTTTTGGAGACTCTTACGTGAAAGCACGTATCGTTCCTTTTCTTGTCCTCCAGCGGCAGGTGCTGCCGTGGGGCGCCTCCTCCGTCCCAACCCCGTTCTCCCCCGCTATCGCAGGAGTCCCTCTCAGCGCTGCAGAGACACAGCATGTTTACCCTCAGCGTCCAGACTGCAAATAAAGCGCACATGCGCCGGGATTGACGGCGCAGGTTGATCATAAGTAACTGAATTTGAAATATTTTTTCTTAAATAAATAGGACCAGTTTATTGAAATGACGTCTGACTCCACCCTGAGGCTCAGGTTTAATGCTCAGACTAATAGTGAATTCTGGTTTGGAGTGGAGAGGGAGTATCCACTCATCGGGCAGAGAGCTGTGTGCATTCTTCTTCCCTTTGCCACATCATATCTCTGTGAGATGGGCTTTTCAACTGTTGCTTCACTGAAAACAAAATAGAGATCTCAGCTGAACATTGAGCATGACTTGAGAGTGGCAGTATCAAGCCTGCAACCCCGTTTTGAGAAACTGTGCAATGCAAAACAGGCTCATTGCAGCCACTAATGCAGGGATAAATAGACCTGTATTGCCAGATGGATTTCACTTCTTTTCTTTTATTAACAGATTGCAGAGTGGCACTTTAATTTTTTCTATCTTTGAGCTTGATACAAATTTTGACACAGCTGCATTTTTATTTTCTTTATTTTTGAGCTTGCTGTTATTTGATGTAGATGGTTTGTATTTAGATACTACTTGTTACTTCAATAAAATTGGAAAATTTTAAGATTGTTGCATATTTCATTAGCATTGTGTTGGGGCGATGGGGACAGGCGGGGCTTGAAAATTCCCCCTTGTCCAAAGTGGGGAATGACAGAAAAAGTTTGAGAACCACTGCTTTAGAATAACATCCAATTCTGTCTCCCATTAATATTTAATATGAGAGTCATCTGATATGTCCATTTTTAGTTTTTTATATTACCTTTTCTACTTTAAATGTACTGTTAATGTGATTTATTTTTGTAGGCTTGTCATCTGTATTTTTGCTTTTCTTCTTAGGTCAACCTACTCTCAGTTCGCCCCAGAGGGGATCCTAGCTAACATCTTGGGGATCCTGCTGGTGTCCTATGGAGTTGCTCTGGTTTACTTGATAACCAAGGATGAGTACAGACGCCCCCCAAACCCAGAAGAAGAGGCGCTGTCTGTCCACTTTAAGAACCTGACTGAGGGTGGGGAACCAACAAGCCCCTGAAGCTGTGACTGCAGGAGCTGCCATATACAGGTGCTGGTCATAAAATTAGAATATCATGAAAAAGTAGATTGATTTCAGTAATTCCATTTAAAAAGTGAAACTTGTATATTATATTCATACATTACATACAAACTCATATATTTCAGATGTTTATTTTGTTTAATTTTGATGATTACAAATGACAACAAATGAAAATCTCAAATTCATCATATCAGAAAATTAGAATATTACTGAAGACCAATAAAAACAAAGGATTTATAGAAATGTTGGCCAACTGAAAAGTATGAACATGAAAAGTATGAGCATGTACAGCACTCAGTATTTAGTTGGGCCTCCTTTGGCCTGTATTACTGCAGCAATGCGGCGTGGCATGGAGTCGATCAGTCTGTGGCACTGCTCAGGTGTTATGATAGCCCAGGTTGCTCTAATAGTGGCTTTTAGCTCTTCTGAATTGTTGGGTCTGGTGTATTGCATCTTCTTCTTCACAATACCCCATAGATTTTCTATGGGGTTAAGGTCAGGAGAGTTTGCTGGCCAATTAAGAACAGGGATACCATGGTCCTTCAACCAGGTACTGGTAGCTTTGGCACTGTGTGCAGGTGCCAAGTCCTGTTGGAAAATGAAATCTGCATCTCCAAAAAGTTGGTCAGCTGCAGGAAGCATGAAGTGCTCTAAAACTTCCTGGTATGTGGCTGCGTTGACCCTGGACCTCAGAAAACACAATGGACCAACACCAGCAGATGACATGGCACCCCAAACCATCACTGACTGTGGAAACTTTACACTGGACTTCAAGCAACGTGGATGAAGTGCCTCTCTTCTTTTCCTCCAGACTCTGGGACCTTGATTTCCAAAGGAAATGCAAAATTTACTTTCATCAGAGAACATGACTTTGGACCACTCACCAGCAGTCCAGTCCTGTTTCTCTTTAGACGCTTCTGACGCTGTCTGTGGTTCAAGAGTGGCTTGACACAAGGAATGCGACAGCAGAAACCCATGTCTTTCATACGTCTGTGTGTGGTGGTTCTTGAAGCACTCACTCCAGCTGCAGTCCACTCTTTGTGAATCTCCCCCACATTTTTGAATGGGTTTTGTTTCACAATCCTCTCCAGGGTGCGGTTATCTCTCTTGCTTGTACACTTTTTTCGACCACATCTTTTCCTTCCCTTCGCCTCTCTATTAATGTGCTTGGACACTGAGCTCTGTGAACAGCCAGCCTCTTTAGCGATGACCTTTTGTGTCTTGCCCTCCTTGTGCAAGGTGTCGATGGTCGTCTTTTGGACAACTGTCAAGTCAGCAGTCTTCCCCATGATTGTGTAGCCTATAGAACTAGACTGAAAGACCATTTAAAGGCTTTTGCAGGTGGTTTGAGTTAATTAGCTGATTAGAGTGTGGCACCAGGGGCCATCAATTTTGAACCTTTTCACAATATTCTAATTTTCTGATATGATGAATTTGAGATTTTCATTTGTTGTCATTTGTAATCATCAAAATTAAACAAAATAAACATCTGAAATATATGAGTTTGTATGTAATGTATGAATATAATATACAAGTTTCACTTTTTAAATGGAATTACTGAAATCAATCTACTTTTTCATGATATTCTAATTTTATGACCAGCACCTGTATATAAAGAGCTGAAGGAAATTTGATTCCAATTTGATTTTCACTCATTTCTACATAAAATCATTTGAGCTCTAATAACTCTGCCATCCAGACCTTCATCTGACCTGATAGCGGGTGAATTAATTGGATCACCAAACATAAAGCTTGAACATGTAGTATTTTTCACGCTACAATAAGTATTTCTTTATAACAATTGGAAAGAGAAATATTTAACATAATGTGAAAACTTCTCTTTCTATGGTGACTTAAAGTGTTATGGAGATCTAAGCTTGCCAGGTGCAGTTTTTAAACCATGTTGAGTGTTCTTTCAGTTTCCACTTATTTCTGGCCCTGATGACTGCATTCATAAAATTCTGTCATTTATTTAACTCAGTAGATGTGCTTTCAAATGTATCACACCAGGGCTAAACTGATTTATATTACTGTGTTTTATGTTTTTGTAGCCGTGTGTAACAGAGAGCTATGCCAAATTTCTATTGCTGAATGTTCTCCTTTCTATTACCGGTTAAAAAAGTAAGTCTCACTGAAATAAAATGTGTTTGAAATGGCTTTACGAAACATCTGTAAGTTTTATTTCCTGTTTAGAATAATGCCCATGCAGAATTGCAGTCAACATGTTTTTTTTAAATTCTGAGATTGAAGTTATTCTAATTTGTTTCACATTTCCAGCATTTTATACTGATTTGCTTTTTAAGCCATCTAAGTTTAATCTCCACTACAGCTCAAAAATGTATTAATTTGGAAATTACTTTGTATTAACACATTTATATTCAGTTATATATGATGATTAAGTTACCTTAATCTAAATTTCTCAATTTACATAAAAGAGACAGGAAAAGATCTTATAAAAAATTGACTTGCAGCAATCTCTTCTTGGATGAGCATGTATTACAGTATTTCTGAGTTGCTAAAACACTTTTTTTGAAAATTTCTCTCGCTTTCCCAAAACCTTAAACACAAATCGCCAAACTTAAGCTACACTGTCAAAACCTTTGACTTGTCTTGCTATATCAAACAATTGCTTCAGAACTATGTTATCTTTACCCAAAACCAAACACTGTTTTCAGATATCACACACATCCAGCTAATGCATAAACACTACACAGCAGTCATTACACACTACAGAGATAAATGCAAAACACTGCACTCAAAGCAGAGCAGGGGAAAAATTAGATTTATTATGAAGTACTTGCACAATCCTGCACACAAATATAGTCACAAGCAAAATATGCAGCAGATCGATAGCAATGTCTTGGAATCATTCTGCCTCAGCATCATGCCTCTGGGCATGGTCAGGCCACAGGACCTCATCAACTTCACAGGCAATCCTGTCCCTTGCTAAACAACGGGGAAAGAATCCTTTAGCATGACGAATCCAACCTTGAATCGATTCCACTCCAATGTTGTCACATGCTGCATCCATTGACTGAAGGAGATTTTCCTGCGCATAAGGAGTTCTGTCATAGACCTTCCACCTCCATGCAGAAAAAAATTCTTCAATGGGATTAAAGGAATAGTACACCCAAAACATGATTAGCCTTCATTTTCTACTCACCCCCATGCTGAACAACACTCTGGAGTACTTTTTTGATATCTCAAATGCATCTGGAGATCTGGGAGGCATCTTGCTGTCTGCTGACATTCAAATAATGGAGGTGCCCAGCGCCCGAGGCAGAAAGGTCCATAAAAGTCCACAAAAAACGTTTCAATATTCCTCCATACTGCTCGTCCAATGTATTCCAAGTGTCCTGAGTGGGTAGCATCCAGAATTTACTCGAAACGAAGTCATTTAGAATGTTTTTAGAGCATAAACAGTAGTGTTTAGGATTTCCTGAAAGCGCGCACATGCGCGATCACGACGCTACGGAAGCCGGCACACCAAACCAGCGCATTCAGCTCGGCAAAGAACTCATGCTCTTCCTCAACACTGAAGTCCTCAGACATTTTTCTTTCGTTGTTTCTTTCTTTGCACAGGTAAACGGCACATTTCTTCTTCTACGCTTGCATTATTGGAAGAGCAGACGCTGAATGCGCACTTTCATCTGGTTTGGTCTGCCGGCTTCCGTAGCGTCGTGATCGCGCATGTGCGCGCTTTCAGGAAATCCTATACACTACTGTTTATGCTCTAAAAACATTCTAAATGACTTCGTTTCGAGTAAATTCTGGATGCTACCCACTCAGGACACTTGGAATACATTGGACGACCAGTATGGAGGAATATTGACACGTTTTTTGTGGACTTTTATGGACCTTTCTGCCTCGGGCACCATAGACATCCATAGCTGTACTATTCCTTTAAGGAAGGGCGAGTATGGTGGGAGGCACACATTTATAAAACGTGGGTTATTTTCAAACCACTCACGTATTCTAGGACCATGGTGAAAGTTCACATTGTCCCAGATTACCACATACATGGGATGCTCTGCCTGCTCATCACCTCTCTCTTCACGTCTCAGTAATGCTTCCTGTAGAGCATACAGAAACGTTATAAGATGGGCAGTGTTGTAAGGTCCTAAAGTCACATGGCGGTGAATGACCCCGTAGCTGCTGATGGCAGCACATATGGTCACGTTGCCACCACGCTGCCCTGGCAACTCTACAATGGCTCGTTGACCAATAATGTTGCGGCCTCTTCTTCTCCTCTTGGTGAGATTGAAGCCAGCTTCATCCAAGAAGATGCACTCATGAGGCCTCTCCATGGAATCCAGTTGAAACATTCTCTATAGAAATGAAAAAAAGTTAATTTTTTATATTACGTAAATGACATAGCATTCCAGGCTTCATGACTCTGTATACATGTGCTGAATTACATTCAACACAGTAAAGATGTACAGTAACTCAATAGTGCTGTATAATCTCTGGACATTACGTATTACTTGTACATATTGATATCGTAGCTCTTTTACCCTCTCAGAATTTCTCTCAAATGGTACTCTGTAGGGTTGTTTGAGACTTATCAGGTTGCGTTTCAGGACACGGTCAATTGTGGAGAGACTCAAACTGTTGATTCCTTCAAAGTTCTTGTTGTCTTCCACTCGCTGTTGTATTTCTTGCAGACAAATGAGATTATTATTGACAATAATGGTCTCCTGCTGTTGTGAGAATATACCTCTCCTTCCACCGGCATGTGGCAGTCTTTCAATTCTAGCAAATAAAACATCTTGTTAGAATTGTACAGACAGACCTAATGCAATATAACCAAATATGTAAAATACATAAAATATATATTTTTATGTAATACTATTAACAGTTTTACTGTAAAAAAGAAAAGGGCAAATTTTTAGAGATATTACAGTAATTTACCGAGACATTCCTCAACTGTACATACTGTACTGTAAGTTTGAGGGACCACAAATGATAGTACACTTACCGGTTGTGTTCTCTGAATGTCCTGA